AGTTTAAGATGGATAATGAGTAATAATTAATGTATAGCCGGAAGGATGTCCATCTTTGGTCGAAGTCACCATGACCTGGAGACAGATGTTTGTAAGAAGTTAACTGGTTTCTTTGTTTAAGCTGTCACGTGGATCCTGCGAAGAAAGTATATAAGCTATGTAAAATCTGTAATCAGGACTCCCTCCTTTCACTGGGAGTCTCCAATTTATTTAGAGCTCTAAAATAAAGTGGATAAAAAGTCAGATTTTCGTCTTGGTGTTCTGTTCACCTCGCACCAAGTCCCGAACCTGGTAATTAGGGTCAATTGGCTGGACCCAAACACATGCTTGTATAGGAAAGATAAAATGCCCACTGTTTTAGCTCTAAATAAAGAGACATCTGCTGCAACTCTTTAAGGAAACATCTGTTTTAGCAGAATATGAAAGGAAGGTTTGTACAGGAGGAAGATGTTCATGCTGGTAGAACAGAAGCTATTGTAATAAGCTAACACATTCCATTGCATTATAATGATTGGCTAAATTTTTAAACTGAAAATACCTATAAAAAGGGAGACAAAGTCATATTTCCTCTGACTCTCCACTGATCATCTACTGCATTTCATTAAATTCCCATCTTGGGAACAAACAGAAAAAAGAAGGGGTCTTATCCTTCTGACACCAGGTTCTGGGAGTTGAAGTCAACACATCTTAAAGTTGCTGAGGTTGAGAAACACTGCGTTAAGGAATACTTTGGCTATGTTAGAAATGAAAGATGTGGGTCTCTTGTGAGGAGAAAAAGACCAGTCTCTGATGGTGAGAAGGCAGAACTTCTGAACTCTTATTTTTCATCTGTGTCAGTGAGAGGCATGAAATGGAGAAATACCGTAAGTACAGTTCCTGTGGGAAAGCAAGAATCTATAGTTGATCCCTCCCAGCCTTAACCTAGAATGGGTCTTTCCCAATTAATCTTAGTGACCCTTCTTTAGGGTAAGGATGTAGTAACCCATATCTGAAACCTCCCAAGGCACAGAGGAATTAGCCTGTAATTTCCCCTCCTTTTGGTACCCCTTCCTGATGGTAGAGATACATAAATGCAAACTAACTTCT